CTATGTAAGACAACGGGTCTACCCATAGATTACAGTGCATTTCGCCCCCAAAAACTAAGCAACATTCATGATTTCGACAATAATTATAAATATTATAAATCAACCTTAATTTTCTAGTTGTAAAGTGAAAAGTTTAAATTCAGATTAAGAATAATATACAGAATAATATACTGTATGTTATAATCATTTACAAAAATACTTGCAGTTTATAAAACAAGAAATTGCTATAATTTATGCAATAATATATTATTAAAAATGATTTATACATGAAATTAATATTAATTAATTTATAGTATTTTAGGACAAACCTACATAATAAATAATAAAAATAATGAAATTTTGCTAATTAAATTATTTCCAACAACATTATTTGTATTTATTCTGTAAATGTATATATCATTTAATATTATATTTTATATATAAATTAAGATAGGAGAATGACTAATCTGTTCGAGGCACAGTGCCTCGCTAGAAAGTGCCTCGCTAGGCATTTTCCACTAAGTTGTAAATATTTAAATTTTTAAATATACACATTAATTTGCTTTTGTTTAATTATATTTGTATTAAAAAAATTTAAATCAAAATTTTTAATTTAATAAAAATTTTTAAATATTTTTATCAGTATGAATAATGTGGTTTATAGGATCGTTCGGCTACCCCTCCCCGAGGATATTATTTAAATATTATTAAAAAAAATTTTTTTTTAAACATTTGTCTTAAAAAAGTAGCAAATTGTTTGATCGGTAATTGAATGCAACCATTAGTTTAAACATCAACTATATGTAAAAGCCCTATGAATCTGGACAACATACATCTAATTGGACATTTAACAATATAGTTAACTTGATTTTTCTGCTGCATATCTTGTGTATGTTTTCATTTAATTTTAAAATACTAATAAGAATAAACTATTAAATATAAACTGTAATTCATGTTATAAATTAGTTTTAATAATAATATTATATAAGTAAAAATATATTAATGGGAATCAACGAGTAGAGCGATATATATTATTTTTGATCGACGGGTAGGGCAATAAAACACAACCCTGCTCGATCGATCCTCGACATCTGACTGCGTGAACAACAAATATTGTTTAATAGTAACACTGTTTTTATTATCCAATAACAATAATGATAAAAATATACCATTAAATATGAACTGTATTAAATTCCATAAATTATATTTAATAGTATATCAATAGAATTTAAAATTGAGTTAATGGACGACATAACTATAAATATTATATTATAATATTTAATTGTTTGACAAATGTTGACCATATTTTATATTGTTAAAACATAATCATTAATATAGCAATTATGTTTTTTATAATGATTTAATTACATAAATTGCGGATAAAAGTAATAAATAAATGTCAACCTTTTATTTATTTTAAAATAATTAAGTTAAATTGTATTTCTTATTTATATCAACAATTTTATTTAATTTTAATATTATAAGTATAACTAGGATTAATTATTACATTTATTATAAAATACAATTAGTTATATTACATATTCATCTACAAATATAATTTAGAGTTAATGCATTTGTAAATTGCATTTAATAAATAAATTAATTAATATTATGTAAAGTATCTTTACATAACATATTTTTGAAAATAAAATTTGCGTTGAGTCATAATCTTAATAAAAGTAATATTAGTTTGTTCAAAAATCTCAGTTAATATAGAACTTTTCATGTAGATAAAATTGAAAATGTATTATGTTAAATGTATGTTAATGTTAATTCCATGAAAAACATTTCAAGTTTTAAAATCTTATTTGTATGTTTACATATTTGCTATATAATAATTCTAAAACAAACGAGCTAAATGAAATTATTAAACAAATTGTTAATATATAAAATAAATCGGTTATAATATTAAGCGTGATTTGTTTGTACTGGGTCATTACGTTGTCAAATTGTACCATGCCAAACAAATGAACGGCCATTACGTTTCCATAAAGTACATCATTGTTCCATTTGCTAATCAGTCCATTTGATTGTATGTGTTTTATACTAGGTAAAAATATATTTTTAAATAATTTGATTAATAAAATTAAATAAATAAATAATTTGATTTTAGCTTGTTTAACCAGTTGAAACTAATAATTTGTCAGATTTATGACATAGATATCATACGATTATTACAGTTGTATAATCACATATAATTAATTATTTTATTGTATTACGGTTAAATTAAACCAAAATTATAAATAATTTTACTCTATACATGAAATGAATTATTTTAATGTTAAACTGATTATGTTTTTATAATAATGTTACTAATAAAAATAATACTCAATTAAAATTAGATAATAATTTAATTGCCTGTAACATTACTTACAATCCATTAAACGTATCTAACCATGGTCCTTTAACATGAGCCGATGCTAACATAAAGTATGGTTCAGGTTCACCACCGTATTTAGATACATGTATCTTGGTCATGAACTCTGGATCGGTAAATTTAATCAACTTATTAAAATGAACAAGATCCTCGATCAACGTAAGCCTTTTAGTCACATATGCTGAATAGCCTGTAGATAACTTTTGTGCAACTTGATACAAATAAGTTTGATTAAAATTTCCATAATAATCAAACGGTGTGATTCGTGATTTAAAATTGACCGCCATTTTGTTTTTTGAAGTATATGCATATACAATTAATGAATCCAATTGTGGCACAATAATATTTACGTGCTTGGTAGCGTACAAATCTGACCATGAGTCAATTGTTTTATCAGGTACGTGTGTTATCATAAAATCCAGAATAAAATTGCGATAATTTATTGCAAATATAAATATCAGGGTCAAATATAATCCAATTAATAAACGTACATTATTACAACGCGCAAATTTAAATGTGCTATGTGAAACGACACTAATTATCATGCGCAACATTTCAAATATTATGGTACAACGACCAATATGGTTGTTTTGATCATAATTAACAAATATGGCTACTAGCAAATTGATCGTGGTAATGCATAACAGGCTAAGTAGAAAAGTGCTCATGTCCATTGCCGAAAAATATTTAAACATGGCTATTCCACCAGGGTATTTTCTATATGCAATATGACTTATAGCTTGGAAATCTATAAACCTGGTAATAGTTGTAAGAATCGTAGTACTAGCATGAGTTAGGTTGTTTTTCTCAACGTAGTCAACAAAGGCCTGATAGGCACCGGCATCTATGGAGCCCACATACAGTTCAGGCAATTGCCGTTTAACTTCAATTGGATTTGCCAATGGATCTGTGATTTGAAGCCTGGTGAAATTAAAATAATATCCATTAGCTATTTGGATTATTAAGTTTATTTATGCTTATTAAAATAATTATAATTTTATAACCTTATTTAAATTTAAATATAATTATCATTTCCCATTAAATAAATTATCTTCATAGAATGTAATTTTACTTACTTGTTGTAGTTATGATGGCTAGCAAACAATTTGACTAAATTAATCATGTAACCACATAATATATAACATAAATGACCATTATTATTGATAGGGTAATAGGTTAAAAATGGTTTGGATATAGTTGGAAAGATCTTTAAAACTTTATCATGATTAAGGGCTGATGTTGTAATATTAATTGTAAAATTATTGCTAGATGAAAATTTAACACAATTAGTTGAGCTCATTGTGAATGTGAATTGATATTTAATTATATTTAATATTAAATACAAAAACCAGAAAGGGCAGATACTAAAATTATTGTGACATGCATAATATTTCAATCAATAATATTATGCAACATGATTGCAATTATTTACGTATTTAGGTATAATTAAATTGTTTTTATGCATAAAGTCTTGTATTAATAATATTGTAGTTTATTAATTGTATTATAATTGTTAAGGATTAACCATATTTCACCATAAATTACTTACACAACATATGCTATTTTTATAAACACATATTGATTAAATTATTCTCCATATTACCTAAATAAATTTATATATTGTCCAACAGCGATTATAATAATTAATAAACATACGAACAAAACTATTGATTAAATAATTATAATCAATTTAAAAATTATGGTAAAATTAGAATACTATTATTACAGTATTATTGATTACAAAATACAACAAGTTAAAAACTGGTTATAAATATTAAGTACATGTATGAGTAACCTTGGTACATAATATTAAATAATATATTTATCAATATTCCAAACACGGCCTTGCAAGCAATCAAACTTGTCATATAAACAATTTCTTAAATAATTAAGTATATTATACTTTTTAAATCACAATAAGTTTAGTACATTTAAAACTAATTCAAAAAAGTCACAGTGTAATAAGTTTTTAAGTATAAATTTTTATTTAATTGTCTGTAAAGTCAATTGATACAATAATGACTTTAATATTGAAAGCTAATATTATTTTATGTTTAACAATAATTTATATGACGGGCATTATATGCATTGATGTGAAAACAAGCTCCGGTATAGTGAGGGGTCAGACCATACGTGTGCTCAAAAAATATGTGGACCAATATCTGGCCATTCCTTACGCCGAGGCACCGGTCGGTGAGCGACGGTTTGCCAAACCTGTGCCCATCTCAACGCCCAAACGGGTAAAACCTTTATAAATATAATTTTTAATTATTACAAAACTGGTTATCTATTATTATAATTAATTGTTGTTACAATACAAATAATGTTCTGATTATAATGTGCAAATTTAGTGCAAAATAGTAGGACCATAATGAAATAATTAATCCTTAAAACAATCCAATAATGATTAATATTACATTACAATATAAATAATTTATTTAAAATAAGTATTATGTACAGTATACAAATATGTAAAAAAATTGCGTCAAAATAATAATGTTTTTAATGATAACTAAATAAAAAACAACATAAATAAAATAATGTAAGTTAATTAACTCTATAATATAAACATTTTAAACTAGGAAATAATAGATGCAACTAAACCTGGTAATTCGTGTCAACAGCCACCTGTCCCACAATATGGTCATTTTTTCAGCGGACTGAATATGAACGAGGACTGTTTAGTACTGAATATCTGGGCACCATACAGGCAACAGCAAACCGAGAATGAGCATGATAAAACACTAAAACCGGTAATGTTTTGGATTCATGGTGGTGGACTGAGTATTGGCTCAATATTTCAGCCCCTATACAATGGCAGTGTATTGTCCACCAACAATGTGATAGTGGTCGCTGTTAATTACCGCCTAGGTCCTTTTGGATTTTTATATGCCGGTGCCGATCACGAGCATACAGTGCCCGGCAATGCAGGCTTTTATGACCAGCTACTGGCCCTGCAATGGGTATAATAAATTATTAATAGTATATAATTTAATTTACAATGATGTTAATGACCATGATTAATTTAAAGGTGAGGGACAATATACACTCGTTTGGTGGCGATAAAAACCTAGTGACCATATTTGGTCAAAGCGCCGGCAGTTGGTCAGTGTCGGCACATGTATTGTCCCCGTTATCCAAAGGCCTATTCAAAAGGGCTATTATGTCCAGTGGAGCCCATATGTACAGTAAGCGCAGGGATATTGTGACCAAAACGGATGCTGTAAATAAGGCCAAACAATTGGCTCGTGATCTAAATTGCGATGACCATGGTGATTGGGTAGATTGTTTGCGAAAAGTTGACGCACACGAGTTGGTCAAGTCTATGACGCCGCTGACGTTCCCGGTGTTGGGCACCGAGTTTTTGCCCCTTTCGGCCGCTGAGGCTTTCCAGCAAAATATGTTTAATTCAGGTTGGTAAAAAGCTTTTTAATATATATTGAATAATCAATATTAAAAAGTATTATAATAATATGAATAATAATAATTTATTATTAATAATTCCAGTGATCATTTTTGTTGTTTTGAATTAATGGTAATTTTTACGATAAAATTTTGTATTTACAGTTTAAATGTTGTGAAAATTATCAATTTATATATTTTAAAACAGTAATTAATACTTAAAATTAAAGAAATAGGTTGTGTTTAAAAACAAGATTTTTAAAACTGGATTCAACTATTATGGTAAATTAACATTTTTAATTAATTTAATTAAAAATAGACATAGATCTGTTGGCTGGTGTGAGCCGGGACGAGGGTCCATTGTTGGCCAAAGTTTCCTACCCAGATGTGTTTGGGGCAAATATTACATTGGATAAATTTATGTCAACTTTGAGCAATTTAAATAATGTGTTTCACGAAATACCTGAACAAAATGTTGGCGATTATTATGCAAATAATGGAATTGATCACGGTCAATTAAGCGTAGCATTTGGCAAGTTATATGGTGATTTATTTATGAATTGTCCCACATATGTGTTTGCTAAACAATTTACCAAGCTTAGTCAACATGGTTCGGCATATTTTTACATGTTAACATTTAAAAGCAAAATGTTTGCTATGTTTGATCAAGATGAAAAGGACGAGTCAATTCACCATGGTGATGAATTGGCATTTGTTTTCGGTCACCCGCTTATGGATCAGCAAAACTATACGGAAACTGATTATGATTTTAGTATACATGTGATGGAAATGTGGTCTAATTTTGCCAAAAACGGGTTAAAATTTGAATTATAATTTATTATTATTATTAGAGAGAGAGAGAGAGAGAGAGAGAGAGAGAAAACGACTATTTCATATAAAACTAATTTAATCATGATAGAATTTTGTAAAATAAATTACTAAATAAATATTGTCCATATGTCGGGCCCCGATCATTAATTAATTTGTTTAATTATAGTATAAATTATAAGTGATTGGCCAAAACTGTTAGATTCAAGCGATGAAAATCAACTAAATGTAAAAATTAAAAATTTAAATCCAAATGATTTATCGGCAGTTTTGTTGGATCCGTACAAACATACATGTGATGGCATTTGGAACGACTATTTCATATAAAACTAATTTAATCATGATAGAATTTTGTAAAATAAATTACTAAATAAATATTGTCCATATGTCGGGCCCCGATCATTAATTAATTTGTTTAATTATAGTATAAATTATATGTTTACATAATAAATATATTACAGTTCTAAAACAATTTAAATTTTTGAAAATATATTATGTAGTAACTTATATAACTTAATTTTGAATGTATGCAATTTGAATAACAAGTAAAAACCTAAAGTCTGTAGCCTGAAGGTATTTGGGAACATAGATTTACCCTGTTTCCTTTAATACTTCCCGTTAAGAAATAATAATTAATTTAGTTTTATGTCATTTACAATCATTGATAAATTTTGTAAAATTATCATTTTCTAGAAATTTTTATATTGATAGTATAGAGTAGTAATTGATTCCCCAATACTGTGACTTATGAATAACAATTGTTTTGAATAATATGGTTATTGTTACTGATTATAATAATTTATAGTCTTATTGAATACAAATTTACCTTAATTTATGCCGCGATAGGACAAGTCTGTGTATTACAATATCTTAAAGATTATAAAACAATTTAAAATAAAATTATTTCATTTGAATAGTAACTGTAAATATTATAATTAAGTTTCATTTATTATAATATTTGTTGTTATTTAAAAAACATTTGGATAGATTTTGTCAGTGACAATTATAATTATTGAATTTTTATTAATATGATAAAACTATATAAAGAAACTATTTTAATAATTTAATTTAATAATTCAAAATAGTTTTAGTTTTATAATTCTTGTCCAATTAATATCACAATAAAAATTAACTCACACAACTCATCTAAATGTATTTACGTGTTTAATTTAGGCACATTTTAAAATAATTTACTAAATAAAAATTGTATACCATTCATTAATGTGTTAAATTGAAAAAAATAACAATAAATTGTTGTATTATAGAATACAATGTTGCCAATAAATAATAAAACAGATTAGCTTAAATTAATGTCTAATAAAATATAGCTGCTTTAGATTATTAAATTGGTTATATTACAAATATTAAATTTAAATAATAACTGTAAATATTATTATTATATTTTATTTATTATAGCACTTGTTTTCATTAAGCAAACAATTGGATGCAGGTAACATCACGTACAATAATAATTATTGTTTTATTTATAATAAAAATTATTTAATTAAAAATTTTAATTACAAGTAATAAAATTATTATGCAAATAATAACATGATAAATATTTACTAAACAATGCATTTAAATATATAATTTTTAAAATATTTCTAATTAACTCTAATTAAAAATTTATTTTAATATCTATAGATTATTAGATTATTAATCAAAATCTGTATATTACATATATCATTATTCTTTTATTAGTTACAGCTAACAATTATATCAATAAATAAATAAATAAATATTTATAGAAATTAATATTAAACTTTAAATTAAAATTTACAACTATTATTATATAAATCTAAACCAATTATGTATTTTATAATTATTACAATCTCTGAAATTATTCAAATAATAATCTATTTTAAACATTAAAATACGTAGTTGGTAATAATTACAAAAACATTGGTGTTATTTTATTAAACGATAAGTTATTTTTGTTAAATGACTAATCTTTTCCAATTGTCTATAAAACTAGTCACATAGTTGTACAGATAGTTCTCGCATTTTAAATGTTTTATTCATTATTGATAAAACTTATTTCGTTTATTATTCAAATATTAATTACTTATATATTTTATTTTTTAAACAGTAATCCGCAAAAAAAAATTCGCCAAAATTGTTGGATTCAAGCGATGAAAATCAACTAAATGTAAAAATTAAAAATTTAAATCCAAACGATTTGTCAACTGTTTTGTTGAATCCGTACAAACATACATGTGATGGCATTTGGAACGACTATTTTATATATAAACAAATTTAATCATTATGCACATTTTAAAAATAAATAATTAAATAAAAATTTTAACCCGAAGTCAGGTACACACCTTTCATGAATGTATTCAATTATAGTTTACATTATATGCTTACATAATAAATATATTACAGTTTCATTACAATTTTTAAAAATGTATTATACAGTGAATTAAATAAATCAACTTTAGTTGTATGCAATGAGAATACAGAATAAGAATTTAACAAGGTATTTGGAAACATTGAGTTTTTTAAAACCATAAAAAATTATTTAAAACAATTTGAAAAATGTCACATAATTCATACAACAAACCGTTTGCAATTATTATGGAAATAATAAAAATTATCACAATCAATAATTGATCGTGATAATTTTTACTATTTCCATAATAATAATTAAAAGAGAATAATATTTTCTGCTTTTTACTGTACATCTTTAGATTTAACTAGATTATTAAATAGTTAATTATTAAGTAGAACAAAATTCGTCAAAACTAACTTTATTTTTAATATAAAATACATAAATGATAAGAATTTACATCAACCATGTTTTACTCTACCAAATAAATATATGGATTAATAACTGTAATAAAATAATATAATATTAACTATATTATGGAAAGGAGTTGTAATAAAACTAATGTGGATGTGTAGCAGGTTATTAATTTTAACAATAATAAATAATATTAAACTTATTTTAAATATATTAAACTTTTAACTTCTCTTTAACTCTTTAACTATTGTAATTATTTATTATAACTATAGAAAACTTTAATAAGTTTGGTACAATTAAACTGTGCGTTTAAAACAATACGTGAAATATTTTAAAATATACTGCAAATCATTTTAAATACGAATATGTGGTCGAAATATAGGGGAAAATTTTATTGTTATTTAATTAAAATAAAAACTATAATGAAGGTTGAAATAATAATTATGGTAATTCCATTACGTTTATATTTGTTAATAAATAAATATATAATTAATTGGTTTATTTAACTAGATACATTTTATTTATTATAATTTTTCAATTAAATTTATGATAACATGGGGCTCACGCCAAAAGTGGGTAATTTATTAGGAGCAGGAACAGTACATTGTTTAATAAATGTTTACTCACACGTGTCAAATCTATGACACACTTTACATTCCCGGTGTTTGGCACTGAATTGTTTTCAATTTTGGTTGTTAAGGCTTTCCAGCAAAATTTGTTTTATCTAGGTTTGTAAAAAAATTATTAAATCCTTTATAATTACAAATATATGTGTTTGTTGTTTGAATTAATGATAAATTTTATTATCAAATATTTATTTACAGTTTGATTTATTGTTCACATAGAGAATGACTAATCTGCTACCCTACAAATTGCTACCCTAGAAACTGCTACCCTGCTACCTTTGTTAGGCGGTCGTTAAGTCGACCCAAATACCGACAACAATCAAGGGTAGCAGGACCTATCCAATG